TTGGACTGGATTTCACAAAAAGTCCATTTTGAATTTCTGCTGCTCATTAGCTTTGTTCCTTACCAGAACATTTGCAGACACTGCAGTGCARATTCCCAGGCATATGAGTTATTTCTTATTCCAAGAACAAAGAAGTTAAAAAGAGCCCCCCCGAACAACAAAACAAGTGATTAATTAACATTTGTTAGCTGTTGACAAATTCTGAGGGTTTTTTTTTWAAAGAGCACTGTATTTTACAACAAAGTCTTTGATCAGATGAAAGTGGCCCATTTGAGAACAAGGTAAAGACTGTTCATGGTGTATCTAACATCCTACCTTTGCTTCTTCTCATTTAGGAGACATGAGGAAGATAAAGCTTGCTAGAACACTCCACTCCCACTMATGATTCACATGATATTGCMAGCATAGCCTAATTAGTTTTGSCCAGCTCTTTTTGAGAATGCATTTRTTAAGCTCAAACACAATTACCTGACTTAAAATCATCTTGTTGTCTTTTGCCTGATTCTTTTCTTCACTTAAGTCTTCAGAGATGGCTTTGTTCTTCCACCTTCTTGATCTCTTTTCTACATCATAATGGACTTCTTCGGTCTCACTGCTGTCCGAATACTCCAAGCTAGTTGCCTGTGGATTGAAATTTACATCCAGTTCTCCGTGGAAATGTTTCTTTTCCATTCTGGGCRCATCACTTTGAGTTCTGCTTTGCAACCAGAGAAGTTTGCTAGGTCCTTTAGCTTCTTGGGAAGAGTTCACTGAAGATGTTTCGGAATCAGAGAACAGTGTCTCAGTGTTGGTGTACAGGCCAGAGGAGGGGGAGGTCACTGCCTGGTACTGATCGTCGCCATAAACCCACTCAGAGCCATACTGGGAACCGGAGTAGTAGAAGTCGTCTGGCAATTGTCGCGGTCTCCGCCGCAGCTTGTTCAAGGCCACATTCCAGTCATAGTCATCCTCGCTGTCCGAGCCCATCTCGTCGTAGGCGGACACAATGCTGGACTCGTTCTCCAAAGCTTTGAACACCTGACTCTTTGGTTTGGCGAGCATTCGAGGCCGAGGCAGAGCGACGTTCTGCAAAGCCACCCAGTTTCCATCAGTGCTTTGGAAAACGGAAGGTGGACCTATGGGAAGAAAGCAAGAACGACTATGAGCACACTGTGAAAGGCTGATTTTACCTGCCACAGACTGGAGTTTCAGCAAAACTAACAAACAAATGCAAATGCTGCTGCCACGTGAACTCTCCTATGCTAAGAACCAACCATTCAGAAGCCACCACTTCAAGCTACGGTGATGACTAAAACGTGAGAGCACTCGGACTAAAACTTTTTTCCAAAAGAATTATTAGCAAAGACTGATGGAACATCAGTACACAGACACGTACAGATCCTGAGTTTTGCAAATGTCTTTGATTCTGTGCACAATTCTGGTCGCCCACATTGAAAAGGAAAGATGGAAAAAGAATCAGAGAAGAGCAGCAAAGGTTGTACCAGGTTCTGGAATGGTGTCCATTCAAGGTATGATTAGCTAAGGCAGACTCTGCCATCTGGAGGAGCGAAGACTGTGGGAATACACCAAAAGGGATGGGGGAATCTCTTCCAGCCTACTACTAGAGGGCATGAAGTGAAGCTTGAGAAATCAAAGTTCTAAACAAACAAAAGAAACGAGATGCAATGGATATCAGACCTATGGAGCTTCTTGCCTAAGGTTGTTCTGGATGCTTGAAATGATCTGTGATAAAAGAGAGATGACTATGGACAGGGAAGAGAAATCCAGTAAAATATACTAAATAAAGAAAACCACTTGTGGCTGAGATAGTAATTAAGTTGAAAGCTCTAGAGATTCAGAGCCTTTTCAGAGGCAGTATGAAAAATACTTGCTTTGTCCRAATCTCTCCTAGACTCTTGCTTACGGCTGCTGCTGCTGTACCCCAGACTGAACACCAAATGAACTTTCTGTCTGACAACAAACACTGCTGCTTCGTATACCTACACTTTTTCAGAGTATCTTTTACCTCTCCAACATAAAAAACCAAAAATAAAGTCACAAATATGCTCAGAAAGTGCTGTTTAACTCTCATAACTTGGAAAACTGCATTTCTTCTAAATTTAGATTTAATTTCCAATCAAACTTCCCCTCATGGGAAATATGAATGTGTGATGACTCTGCCTTCTGCAGCACTTGAATAAATGTATGCCATGGATTTACCCAGTAATCCAGCCTACTGAATGAACTTTTCAGACTTATGGATTTCTCCCATGGGTTCAAGTTTTTTATTTTCAGATATGTATAGAAATAATAATAATAATATAAATTATATATATAATAATATAAAGCATTCATTTTCTCAAACTGTAAGCAGAACATCACTATTTTAAAATGAACAAATTTCTGCTGTAGATGATAATCAGGCATTTTGCATTAGATGGCTATAAATATTTGGATTAAAAGATTACTTTTTTCCTGGAACTCTTMATAAAGAACATCAGCATGCAGTAAAGTGTGCTTAGTTTAAAAAAAAAAAAAGTCTGAGGTGCACTACCACCACCAAACACCCCCAGAAAAATAAAAATTAAATGGTAATTAAATTTATGAGCTATGAGAAATTTAGGTCAATTTTTGCATTTCTAAATCATTTGAAAGCTTTTGTCTTGTTAACACTTCCTAAATTTCAAGTCAATTCAGAGAAAYTGAGAAAATATAATTCTTACTCTTGCTTAAAAAGGAAATCAAAGTAATACTGGTTCTCTTGTAGCAGTGACCAACCAAGGATGTAACTGAAGTCAGGTGTGTAAGGAGAACTAATCATTCTTTACTGTAACCCGATGTTGGAGGGGAAAACCCAAACAAGCTGTCAAGCACAAGAAACTTCTGCTTGTTCACTTTTTCTGACAATCACTAATCAAATATAGGGTTCTCTTGAGAGAACTTTCCTTAAAAAACATCATTCCTTCAGACAAAGCCAACAGGCTCTGCAGCATATAAATCTCCAACAGGAACTCAATTCAGCTACACACTACACAAATGTAATGGGGAGCCACATAGTTTTTCTCCTCCAAACCATATCCACTTTTTTTTTAACAATACCACATAGGAATCAGTCAACCAATCCTGGTTAACTGAAGAAAGGACAGGATAGTAGCTGATTCTGTTTTAGAGAGCAAACAGGGTAGAAAGCCACTGAGAACTCAGGAAGCTGATTCAGTTTTATTCCAACTTCTACAATGTCAAGTGTTCCCTTCCYGATCTTTCAAAAATAAGTCACTTACTTGAAAGAATTAATTTTGTACACAATTCTTTGGGCATAAACTATAATTCATCCACGTGAAAAGGAAAAAAAGATATAAGAAGTTTCATTGTAAGACTTGATAAAGGGGGGAAAAAAGCRCAGTATGATGACTTGGCTCTTGAGTCATCATTTAAATCAATACAAACTGTAACCAAAATGAATTATGAACTTTTTGGCTACATGCCTAAAAAGCCCATTGATGTCACCACATCAGACTCTTAGGTTGARATTTCTTTTGTTTTGTGTCATACTAAAAAGCTGTTTATTACAGCACAGGTGAGATCATATTTGCAGATATTAGCACCATCAGCTATTTATTATTAGCCTAATAGGCACCATCATTTCATCACAAATGTGTTTTTGAGATGAAAGAAGCAGAATAAATCCTCTGAGGAGAGCACCTGAAAAGAAACTGGGTCAATTTGTTGTTCTGCTGTGGTTTAGCAATTATTTAATACTAAATTGCTCTACAGTTGAATTCAATGGGATTCAAGYGGATTCTTAAATTTAAGCACCAAATTAACTGCTTTACTGAAAATAGACCTTCCACTAAAATGCCCAGGAGAAAACCACTTCTGACAGTGGTTTGATTAAGAAATTCAAAAAGTAATGCATACYCTTTTAAGTCAGATTTTATTACCACTTTAATATTAATTTCCTTTTAGAGGGAGGAAAAGTCTCAAAATTGTCTAAATTTCAGCCTCCCCAGTTATCAACTTGCATTACAGATAAAGAAATTGAATGGATGGGCAGCCTCCATCCCTGGTCCCCACCAAACCCAAAGACATGTTTTGGCTGCTTCTCTTGCTAGCTCCTAGTGAGGCAGCTGTGGGAGTTACAGCACCGGGGAACTCACCCTACAAAAGCATTTTCCACTTGCACAGCTTCATGAACCAATGTGCTACAGGGGTCAGATGGGCCCTACAGCTGCTCTACAGGAGAGCAAGCAAGAACAAGCAGACTCTGTCATGGGACGATAACACTTGGAGCCAGGGAATGCTGCTGCAATGAGCAGTTCAGCTCTTGTGCAGCTGGAGGGGTGAAAACTCTTTGGTGAGTTAGTTGCCTGGTGCTGCACTCTTGTGGCCTCACAAATACCTCAGCCAGAACAAGAGAGGCAATGGAAACAGGACCACCCCGAAAGCAGGAGCCACAATTGCAGAAGCACAGAAAGGGTTAGGTTGGAAGGGACCACAGCGGGTCATCTGGTCCAACCAACCTGCACATGGCACAGGATTGCATCCGGGTTCTTGAATATCTTCAGTGAAGGGGACTCCACAGCATCTCTGGGCAACCTGTTCCAGCGCTTGGTCACCTGCATAGTGAAGAAGTGCTTTCTCATATTCAGGTGGAACTTCCTGTGCTTCAGTTTCTGCCTGTTGTCTCTTGTCCTGTTGCTGGGCACCACTGAGCAGAGCCTGGCTCCGTCCTCTGACACCCTCCCTTCAAATACTTATATATATTCACTGATACCTTCTTCAATGACAACCTGTTTTTCTGCCATCTAGAAGTAAGCAGGGAATTGCTTTCTATCCCAGGGTGCTGATTCAGGAATGGAGCTGACTTGGAAAGCTGCTCACCACCCATCATCCATATTTACATCCATACCTGATGCATGATGACAGAGGTCAGATCCAGGGAAGCTGCTGGTCTGTAAAGTTCCTACTCATACAGCTTCCTCCAGCTACTCAGGAAGCACCAATGAGTAGGGCTGCATACTACACTGCATTTGTGAATTCAACAGGGTTGAAAATAAAGTTGCATGGAGGAACGCTAAATCTGAATTATTTCAGTGATTGGCTCACTGTGTAACCCCATGAACAGTTMCCCTGTGCCACAGAAGGGATACAATGGACAGCTGCAAACTCCTTCAACTTGAGTTGAAGAACTTTGAAGACAAAAAAGGGCCCTTGGGCTCTTATGTCTTAGAAGCTTTGAAATACATCCAAACTAGTTGCCTAAATTTTGTAATAAAGTTCCAAAATAAAGTCCACAAAGACACAAATTTTGAATAGTTTTTTTTAAAAAAACATTAAGGTAAGCAATGACATAGCCCAACAAAATTGTGACACAGCATCATCAAATATACATTTTAGATGTGATCTCTGAAAACACAGAGGTCAGCAGAAATGTCCTCAAGAAGGTCATTGCTTTMAGTTGTATTTATTCCACCCTTGAGTGAGAACCAAAAAAAGAATCTTATTCGTACTAGAAATATTTACTTGTTTCATTTAGCCTGTCTACACTCTTCCAGCTGGGTAATGCAGAGCGCTTGCGTTCCTTCTGCTTCCTGGACTGTCCCTTTTGCTGCCTCCGAAGAGCCTCGGTCACAGACGATGCAGGGTCTTGTCCTTTACTGGCCRTATCTTCACTAGCCAGGGAGAATGCAGACTGAGACCTCTGTGGGATTAAAAACCAAAGACTTTAATTTAAAAATAGAAGAAGTTAATTATCCACCTCTTTGCCATAATCAGTATTCAGTTACCCATGGAAGCGTGGGATCTGCTAACATCACAAATGGGATTTAATGTATTCAAAAGAATTGTTTCAGCATTAGATTGCTTATTTATGTGCATTTCTGATGCTATGCAAAGAGGCAGGAAATTGTTTGTACTACCATGGASCAGATGGAGAGAAATAATTAAGGTGAAGTTGTTGGGATTGTGCTTAGTGAGGACYGATATCTAAGTGCTCCGACTCAAGTTAGCCAGAAAGGGATCCCATTGTGGYGAGACATGATGATCCATTGTTGGCTCAACAGGCCATCTGGTGTAACAACTCGCAGAAGTTAAAAGTTACAAAAGAAAAGCAAACAAACAGCCTGTTCCCCAGAAAYAGATATGCAACTCAACTGATTTTAATGCAGAATTCTCTTTGCTAGGACATACATACATAACACCCAATATGCTGAGCAGTTTTATGCACTCTTACTAATGAACTCAACATAGCCCCCAATAGCACATCTATTTAGTTCTAGGAGGGTGACATTTCAAGGCACAGAAAGGTAAAATACTGTTATGATTGCAAATCAGCCCTGGGTGCTACTGAGGGGAAGGGACTTCGGTTCCAGATAAACGGATCAGACATTTTAGTTTTGACTTAGGCACAGAGAAGTCAGTCAATTACAGAAGACACATTTAAATTTGGCCTGTTTTAGAAAGCTATGAACACTGGCAGTGGGCAGCTGATTTCARGAGAACTMACACTTGCATATCAAATCACACACRTAGCTCCAGGAACAAGGCTACAGAGATTGAGTTAAGTTGCCTTTCCAGCAGAGTCAGCRGAAGACTGTACATGTCAGGGTTTCAAGTGTCTGCTTTGCACAGCCCAAGCTGGCACTCTCAAATCTTTGTTCATTTTTACTGATGTTTAAATTATAAATAATTAACTAAATCTCAAAAGAGCCGTTACTCTCAAAAGAGCCAGTCTTTGCCTGTATCAGAGGTCTGCTTTGTGCTGGTGCAGGTGAGATAAAGGACAATTTGACTCAGCTACTTTCAAGTCCTTCAATTCCCAGGACAGCATAAGCATTGCTGCGAGTCCTGCTGGCTCAAAAGCCACACTTGTACCACTTTCTGGCTGCACTTCCTTTCATCTGAAATGCTCCTCTGTGGGACCCATGTACCATGCCAGAAGATTTCATTAACTGCAAATCTTCGTGTACCCTTGGCTCCGCAGTAAAAGGAAACACAATTAAGCACAAGGGTTTAGTTTGGCTTCTGAATTCATGAAGAAAAGCCAGAATTATTACCCTAGAATCAAATATTTTCTATAACTATAATGACTGCACAACTTTGTTAATTTTGCCTATACAAAAACACAGGTTCTAATATGATACATTGGAGTGTTCCTTTCAAATTCAGTGATATAAACTCGCAATAAGATCAAAGTACTGCGTATTTTTACTATAGGGATTTTTTCAGGTGCATCACCTTTACAAGCCAGCTATATTYAAGTGTATATTTAGTCTGTTCCAAACCTTAAACTAGATCTTCAAGTGGTCWAGATCATCTGAGTCCTTCTTATCCTTGTAAAAGGGTTAATAATTTAATGCAATGCATACCTGTAGGTACAAAAATTCTTTCGCTACAGAAAATTGGGTCATAAACTTWGAATTCATCCTGGCAGGATAGAATAGAACAATAGAACAATTGGACAATAGAAATTTCCCAGCTGAACTACAACAAGTTTTAACTGGGCTGTGGTACACTTCACTTTGTCGTAAAGCTAAAACTACCAAACTTGCCATGTTTTCAATAAATTAGGTCTGCTAATTTATGTGTCTACTGCATCCATCTTTTGGTATCTTCGTGTTAAAGTTGTTACAGACTGAAAGCAGCATGTTGGGGCTGTCACTATTTTCATGGTACCACTGATATTTCCTCAGGGCACTTTTTTTTTCCATGGCAGACATGAGAGATAAGATGTGCTGAAGACCCAGAAGAAGGAACAGCCAATCAGTAAWATCTATTTTCCCTTATTACTCAAAGAACTGAATTGTTAAGAAGAAGAGTATCTGGAAAAAGCAGTAAGTTAAGTCGCCAGTTAAATTATACCCGGACTCAGATAATGAGAATAACGTGTTTTTCTTGTTATGTAAAATCTGCATATTTGTCAACTTTCCTGTTTAGTTTGAATGGCAGCTTCTTGTGTGTCTGCTCACCATTTCATGAACATCACAATCAAGTGATGCCATTCCAGTGATGGCAGGGTCTGCTCTTTGCTCCCAACCCACCTGACACCTGCCAGAAGCTCAACCCTGACAAGGCAGAACTTGGCATGGGCTGTGAGAGCCCCTGGGAGATGGGCACCCCTGCCCCCAGTGCCCGAGCAGGTTAAAGCCAGCTCAGATGCACCTGCAGATAAAGCTTTCAGAAGGACTGAAAGAGAGACACAACAGCTTCAAGGATTTAAAAAGGAAAAGATTAACAGCCGGGAGGATGAAAGGAGCTGAAAAASAAGGAAGCACAGAGAAGAAAGTGGACACAGTCCCATGTGGTGTAGTAGCTGTAGGATTTCCAATATGCTCAACCAAACAAGCTTATCTAGCAAAAAGCAGATTTTGTTAAATTGTGTGCTAAACTTTTRGGTAAGATCAGAGGGAAACTGTTCTGCACAGTTTCTGCAAGGTCTCTGTGGAGCATGACATTGGTATTATCGAGGAACCACTGCTAACTCCCAGGAATTCCAGTTGAAATACAGCAAAAGGTAAAGCTCTTGGTGCCTCCAAAGCTTGGCTTGAGGCCATCCTCATTATTTTWCTACACTTTATGTGAATTTTTGATAAAATCTGTGCTGGTCTGCTCTGCTARAAGTACCATCTCTTCTCACTGAGGATGGTTCAATGTCACAGAAGGCTTAAGGAGAGAAAAGTAATGGCATGATATAATAGCTTGGCTGCACCCCTGCATTTAGAGYCTGAAAAAGGAAGATGCTGTTGAACCTGCACTCTTCACTATGACATTTGCAGTTCTCTGGAGAGATTGAAATGATTAACAAGTGTCCAATTCAGAAGAAAAAGTAAAAGTAGAGGTTTTGGTTATTTCTTGTACTGAAAGTTAATTTTAGATAGGGATGGAGGGACAGACAGTAGAGTTGTGTTTTACTCAGACAAACATGGGTGGAAATAAAACATGAACACTGATTCCTGAGCAGTTCAAATCACTGGTAGCACTGATAATGACACAAAAAAGAAGTGTCAATAGCCAATCTCAGTGTAGGAACATGACAGAAGCATAATCTGGCATGAGAACAAATCAGTCTAAATTGACTGTATTTTTCAGAGCACAAAAGCAAATGTTTGTCTACAAGTTTACCTCCAATCAATTAGCAGCCTCAGTCATGAC